ACTCAATTGTAAATTCGTTTCTAAAAATTCATATTTTGCTTACTATAGAATGGAGATGTTTCAATCGTTCACGAATTATGGCAGACGCTTCAGTATTACTAACCGAAAATTTTCATTTAAATCTAATTGAATACTAATTTTTGGCAGCTTTGTAACAGCGGATGCAAAAACGATCGATTTCCCACAAATGCGTGCGTTACTTCAGATTCGCCAGATTTGGGCTTCAAGGTTTCACACATCGAACAAAAGTGCTGAATGTAAACAAGCAGGAAGTTTCACTTAAATTCAGCAAAATTAATGATTTTTGTACAATTGTAACTTTTGGTCCAAAAATGACAAAACTTGAAAAATAAATATTTATATTTGTCAAATTTCCAAAAGCAGACACACTTGATGTTTTGGGAAAAAAGACCAGAAACCTCAACATCACGTCAAGTACAAAGTTTCATATAAATCGCATTGAATTCTGATTTTGGCGAGCTTGGTCACTTTGAGTCCAAAAATGACCTTTTTCTCACATGATCATGCCCCACTTCAAAAATTCATGAACTCCTATCTGGAGCCAGCAGTGTGATCTTGATATTTTTTTCAGTACGTAGACGAGACTCTAATTTGTTTAAAAAATCTGAAATTTATTTTAGAGAGAGGAAGCCGTTGTGTCCAGATGAGCTAGATGAAGAGGCGCCCTACTTACAATACGCCACTTGGTCGCACGACGGTTCCGCCATCGCGTTTGTCTACAACAACGACATCTACTACAAGCCCAAAGTGGAAAAGAGCTTAGTGTGCAGAATCACTAACAACGGCCATCCGCAGCGGATGTTCAATGGGGTTCCAGACTGGCTTTATGAAACAGAAATTCTTAAAACTTCGCACGCCATGTGGTTTTCTCCCGACAACTACTACTTGCTCTATCTCAGCTTTAACAACAGCAGAGTCGGGGAATATTCCTATGCGTGGTACAACAGCAAGAATCTGGATGCCATTTATCCAGAAGTGCGCAGCTTCAGGTATCCAAGAGTGGAAACTGCCAATCCGATAGTAAAGGCGTGGATTGTTAACTTAACTACTCCAAAGTATCTGTTTCCTTTTGAGTTAAAGCCCACAAATCGAGTGGAACCGGACAGTTATATAACCAGCATCCAGTTCCATGGAGAAAACAATGTGAATGTGATCTGGCTAAATCGAGCGCACAACATTTTTGTGATTGCCACCTGCAGCAATCAGCAAGCATACAATTGTAGCGAAGTAAGCAGTGAATTTGCGATTTTCGGGATTTAAGCTTCCACTCTTCATTTTCCAGTTTCACGTTGAAAAAGAGCATGAACACATTGGCTGGACGGAACCAGTTTTCCACCCAGTGTTCAATGAGAATGGAAGCAAAGCCTTGGTAAGGTTGCCTGTGAAGGATGGCGATAATGGCCATTATATGCATGTTTGCGAAATTTACAAAGGCCGAGTGAGGCCTTTGACTCATGGCGCCTTTGAAATCGTCCAGGTACTAGTTTGGGATGAAGACAATTCGTTTATGTGAGTACCACCTCAGTTTTGGCATCTGTTTCTTCTTCATAGTGTGGTGCTTTCCAGATATGCCATTGGAACTATTGAACAAAACCCTGGATCGCGGCACCTGATCAAAATAACCGACAAAAACTCTTTGCCCCTTTGGGAATGTGTAACTTGTGTCTCTGATATGGACTGGAACAGTACCGAACCGTTCTGTTACAACGAAACCGTACTGAACGACAATCTGTGGCTGAACTACCGATGCGAATACAACAACGTTGTTTTCAGCAACAATTCCAGTTATTTCATACAGGAATGTTTGGGACCAGAAATTCCTATTGTTACTCTAGCCAGGACTTCGTCCTATGAGCGACTGGCCATTCTGGACAGCAGTTCCAGGCTGCGGAGGCGAATGAAGAGATTCTCCAAGCCCCAGATGAAGCATATAACTGTTGAGATGGAGTTTGGCTATAAGGCTCAGGTGCGAATGTACCTGCCAGCTATTCTGAGAGAGTATGAAGACACCACGTTTCCTCTGGTGCTTTTAGTGTAAGTGTTTTAGGGAGTTGATGTGCTGAGGGAGAATTTTGGGTTCGTGACTTTGAAATGTGGATCTCAAAATTGATGTTTTCAGTCAACTCATCAATCTCATTTTTCAAAATCTACACCTACTCAACCTAAGGAGACACGTACCTTTAAAAGAGCTGAATTTTTTATAGAACAGAGTCAAAATCCGGGTTTTTCGAGTTCAGCAAATGTGCGTCTCAAAATTAATGTTTTCAGTCAATTGCGTTCTCTCCTTTAAAAAATCGTATTTCGCAAACTAAGGCAAGTAGCAACCTGCGATCGTCAGCATATTAAGACCCGAAAAATGCCGAAATGGTCATAGCAATTGCAGAAGTTCTTGATTTTTTCCCGTTTAGTAAATGTTGGTCCAAAAATTGATGATTTCAGTCAACTGTGATCTCATTTTTCAAAATTCACACCTTTTCAACCCAAGCAGACACGTAACTCTGAAAGTGCTGAATGTTTCTTAAAACAAAATGAAAATCCGGGTTTTACGAGCTCAATAAATGTGTGGCTCAAAATTAATGTTCTCTCCTTTAAAAATTCGTATTTCGCAAATTAAAGCAAATAGCAACCTGAGATCTCCAGCATATTTAGACCCCAAAAATTCCGAAATGGTGAAAGCAATTGCAGAAGCTCTTGATTTCTTTCCTGTTTAGTAAATGTTGGTCCAAAAATTGATGATTTCAGTCAACTGCGTTCTCTAATTCAAAAATTCCCATTTTCTAAACTGGAGCAAGCAGTAACCTGAAACTTGCCAAATCTTGAGCAGATATTTGACACTACAAATGCTGAAATTTAAAAAAAAGTGGCTCAAAATCCTAATTTTTTCTGGTTGAGCAAATGTTGGTTTGAAAATTGATGTTTTCAGTCAACTGCGTTCGTCTTTTAAAAAATAAAATCTTTCAAATTGACGAAAATAATAACCTGAAAATTTCACGATCTTTTGAAGATACTTGGCTCTAAAGATACTGAAATGTTTATAACAATTGAAAAAAATCTTGCTAGTAACATCTTGTTTTTTTCCAATTTAGTGAATTTTGGTCCAATTATTGATGTTTTCAGTCAGCTGCGCTCTTTCATTTAAAACTTCACATTTTCCAAACTGGAGCAAGCATTAATCGGCAACTTTCAAGATCTTTAGCAGATGATAGACTCTAACGATGCTGAAGTTTTCATTAAAGTGACCCAAAATCCTGATTTTTTTCCAATAAAGTAAATGTTGGTTTGCAAATTGATGTTTTCAGTCAACTGGGTCCTCTCTTTAAAAAATAAAATCTTCCAAATGAAAGAAAATAACAGCTTGAAAATGTCACGATCTTTTGACAAAACTTGACTCTAAAGATACTGAAATGTTCATAACAATTGAAGAAAATTTGGATTTTTTTCAGTTTAGTAAATGTTGGTCTAAAAATTGATGATTTCAGGCAACTGCGTTCTTTCATTTAAAAATTCCCATTTTCTAAACTAGAGCAAGCAGTAACCTGAAACTTTGAATTTCTTTAGCAGATGATTGGCTATAAAGTTGCTGAAATTTTCAAAAAAGTGGACCAAAATTCTGATTTTTTCCAGTTGAGTAAATGTTGGTTTGAAAATTGATGTTTTCACTCAACTGCGCTCTGTCATTTAAACATTTACATTTTTCAAAAGAAAGCAAGTAGACATTTCAACGTCGTTAGCAGATACTCGACTCTTTAGATGCTGAAATTTTCTTAAAAATTGCCCAAAATGTTTTCAGCGAACTGCGTTGTTGCCTTTAAACATTTTGATTTTTTAATATAAAGAGAGCAGCATTGTGAAGATTCCAACACCTTTAAAGAAACTGGATTTTTTTTAAATTTGCGAAATATCAGGATTTTTTACCATCTTTGTAAATGTTGGTCAAAAAATTGAAGTTTTCCTGAGTTCCTAAAAACTGACGCTGTATTCCTTACTTTAAAAATTCGTACTTTCCAAACTGAAACCGACAGAAACCCTAAATTTTCACCATATGTAGAACACACTTCACTCTGAAAATGCAGAAATTTTCTGAACATTTACCCAAAATTCTGATTTTCATCGGCTTTGTTAATATGGATCTCAAATTAACCGTATGACATTCAAATAGTCAACTGCGCTTGTTGTGCCTTGTTATAAAACATTGCATTTTCGTCCATGAAACATTTCAAACTGAATTTTCACCATCCTTAGAAGATCCTGGACTTTGACGTTGAAATTTTCATCAAAATCCTGGTTTTGCTCAGCTTAGTTAACAAAGATCTGAAAATGGATGATTTTGGACAACTGCTTTTGCTCCTTAAAAAATTAGCATTTTCC